ACCTCACGCATAAATAAATGCACGGTCCTCTCTGAGCCTGAGGCCTCTGTAAGATCGGGCTCATTCCAGGGGTCATCAGTTCTATAAGGCACGTTTGTTCACGTTTCAGTGAGGTTGAAGTCGGAATGCTTTTACTACTGACGGCATCTGAGGTTTGGTGCAACGCACCTCCCACGGTCACTGTGAGGGTTTGATGGGAGAATGTAAGGGAAGCACCTAGTGTGGCAACTGACACACAGTAGGAGCCCAGAAAGTGTGAGCTCCCCGCCCCCCCCCACTCTCTCTCCCTCTGAGCTTGTCAAAGATTTTGGAAGTTGACTTGAAAATTTCTAAAAAGGCTCCTCCCCTCTCCCCTTCATTCCAGGGCGCTTTATGGCCACAGCCATGCCCTGCGATAACCTGACTTTCCGACAACAAGCTCGGGTGAGCAGCTTGTCGGAGCCGCTGACCTGGCTGGCACAATCGTCTTTATGGGTGGGGCTCTGTCCTGTCACCTGTGGGCTGCGATCAAAGGCCTGTCCCCTCTGCCTGGCACCCTGCCCTGGTTAATTAGGCGAGCTTTGCTCAGCCTTTCACACATGTGCCTCCAGTTTATTCCCGGAGGAGTGAGAGAGGGTTGTGCTCAGGGCCAGGTTCCCAGACCCACTGTGGGGCTCCTGGGGGCCGGGAACGATCCCCACGGACAGGCTGTCTGACCTTGGGCCAGTCACCTGACTTCTTTGAGTCTGTTTCTTCATCTGAAACAGGAAAAATAGCAACAGCATTGCTAAGGGCTGTGGTGAGAAATCGGTCATTCGCTTAACAGATATTTAATGAGCACCTGCTATACATCACTGAAGACGCAGCCGGAACAAGGCAGGAGAGATTGCTGCTCTCGTGTTGCTGACCTTCCGGTGGGAAAGACAACAAATGAGTCACCTTACCAATATGTTTTTTTTTAAACTTTTATTATATGGAATAAAAGCATATAAAAACATTTATTATTATATAGAATAAAAGCATATAAAACAGACTTTAATAAAACATTTCATAAATCAAATTTACAACGCCATCAGAAGAGTCCCCGTCCTGAGCAAGCCTTATTGGACTTCCCACCATCTGAACACACAGCTCAGCAGGGGGGCTCTGGGCCACCAGGAATAGCGGAACCCGGTGGTGTCCCCTCCCCAGCCCCATAGTCACCGCCAGGAGGCCTCGGGCCATAGAACAAGTCTTGGCTCACACTGGCCGTCTCACTGCCTTCACTCTCTTCAGAGGAAGAGGAAAGCGGATGGTCGTCTTGGAGGACGCTGCAGGGCCCTGTGACGGAGTCCCTCTGCCTTCTCCACGGCTGGGAGAAAACGAGCCCAGAAAATGTGAGCTCCTCTCCCTCTGAGCTTGTCAAAGATTTTGGAAGTTGACTTGAAAATTTCTAAAAAGGCTCCTCCCCTCTCCCCTTCATTCCAGGGCGCTTTATGGCCACAGCCATGCCCTGCGATAACCTGACTTTCCGACAACAAGCTCGGGTGAGCAGCTTGTCGGAGCCGCTGACCTGGCTGGCACAATCGTCTTTATGGGTGGGGCTCTGTCCTGTCACCTGTGGGCTGATCAGCAACGGTGGTGACATCTGGGTCTTGTAGTTTCCGTCTCTTGCTTGTGGGGAGGGGCATCGGCTGGGTTCGAATTCTCGCCAAGCCTACGAATTTTGCCTGGTCCTCCTGGTTTTCCTGGGGGCTCTTTTTGTCTCTCCCCCTCTGAGCCGGTATCTCTTCTTCATCCTCTTCTTCATCGGGCCTTGATCGCTGTCCAATCTCCCCAGCAGAAATGTTAGAATTAAATGGCTTCTGTGGATCCTGGGGAGCCAATGGTTTCTGGTTCCCGTTCATCTTATTGGATCCTCGGGGCTGGAGGCACTCAGCCTCAAACGCTTGCCTAGCGGGACAGTTGGGGTTGCCTTGCTTCTGTCCCTCCTCCTGACAGTCCTTGCATTTCAATGTTCGGGGCACAGTCCTCATACCGCTCTGTGCTCCCCTGGTTGTCAGCTGGTCCTCAGGATTATCTGTGCTGGGCGTTATGGACCTCGGAACCTGCCTGAGAAGGGCCAGAAGGAGAGCTTGCTGTGTGGTAGGAATATATGTGGGTGGTGACCATTAAATTAGCATAGTTTCCCAGAAGGAACCCAATATGTTTGCAGAAATTCTTTTTTTCACCCTCATTTATAATTTGAATCAAAGCATTGCTAATTTGTTTTGTTATTTTTTAACTTTCATATATGCACCAAATTTTAATCATGTAAGTCAATTCATTTGGGGGGAAAGAAACACCATCCAGAACTCCCCCTCCAGAATAGAACAATGATGTTCACTCCTCCAAACAGCCAAATTCAAAGTCTACTAAAACAAAAACAGCCCACACAGAAAAAAAAGTAACAAAACCACATCCTAGGGTAGCCGTGGGCAAACTACAGCCCGCGGGCCGGATCCGTTAATCATGTAAGTCAATTCATTTGGGGGGAAAGAAACACCATCCAGAACTCCCCCTCCAGAATAGAACAATGATGTTCACTCCTCCAAACAGCCAAATTCAAAGTCTACTAAAACAAAAACAGCCCACACAGAAAAAAAAGTAACAAAACCACATCCTAGGGTAGCCGTGGGCAAACTACAGCCCGCGGGCCGGATCCGGCCCGTTTGAAATGAATAAAACTACTAAAAAAAAAAAAAGACCATACCCTTTTATGTAATGATGTTTACTTTGAATTTATATTAGTTCACACAAACACTCCATCCATGCTTTTGTTCCGGCCCTCCGGTCTAGGGGTGGTGGGCTTGATCCCCAGTGGGGGCCGTGCAGGAGGCAGCCGATCACTGGTTCTCTCATCTATAATAATAAAAGCGTAATATGCTAATTAGACCAGACGGCCAAACAGCGGAATGACCGTCCGGATGACCTTCTGGACGACCTTCTGGACAAAGCCGGGGCTGCGAAGGCTGAGCCCCTTGCACGAATTTCTTGTTGTTGTTTTTTAATAATAAAAATTGTTTTATTTTAAAAAGTAAAAATTTATACATCCCTTATAAAAGAAGTGGTAACATTTTAACCAATATAAAACATCACAGAATTCAAATCACAGTTTTGACCTTCAAGATTCAAATGTTGTATCCCATTAAGTAAAATGTGGTCAGTTTTAAGACAAAAATTCCTCCTCTGGATATCCTGTTCTCCATCAAGTCTTTCTTTATCACCATCATCTCACACAGTAGGACAGCTGGCCGCGGCGGCGATTCCACAGTGGTTGTTCCGGTCTTTGGCCATCTTTATGTAGCCATTCTTGCCCCAAGTTTCACCCCAGCTGTTCTTGACAATCCAATATTTGTTACTTGAATCTTCTCCTTCAAAGCCATAGCCAACCACCAGAACGCCATGATCTAGTAGATCCACGCTGCTGCAGCGCCGCTCATAATAAATGCCATCTTCATAGGACTGGAAGCTAAGACGGCTTGCATCTATAGCCACCGAGATGGGCCCCACGGTTGCCACTGCCTTCACGAGGGCACTCTCCTGCCCAGGGATGTCCACGAAGCCAGTGTCATTGGCAACGGAGTCCTCAGGCCTGTATTTGCAGGGTCCACCCTTTGCTTGATATGGATAGGACTCCTCTGAGTCCAGGCCCCCGTTGGACTTCACATCCTGGAAGGCATTCTCCATTAGGCCACCACTGCAGCCCTCATTGCCTTGAGCCTGAGAGCAGTCCACAAGGTTCTGCTCACTCAGTGAGATAAGTTTGCCAGTTTTCCGGAACATCTGTCCCTCAAGGGCACCAGTTGCACTAAATGCCCAACAAGAACCACAGTGACCCTGGTCCTTCACGGGAGTGACACAGCCTTCTTTTCGCCAATCCGTCGTTGGGGGGATTTCAGCGAGGTAAGGTTCCCGGAACACTCCTTTTCTTTCACTTCTGGTTTTGATGGCCATCCATCACCTGCGTGAATTCACAATGAGCTGCCTGCCTCGCTCTGGTGGCACGTAGAGCATGGGAAGGTGGGGAGGGCTGTTTGCAGCACACGTGATTAGGGGACACTGATCTTCAAGGTTTAGCTTTCTTCCAAACGGTGTGAATTGCCCACAATGCCAAGGAGGAAGGGGCACGGACGCTCTCCTTTGAGAATCCCACCGGACAATCCAGGTGCCCAAGCTGTTCTCCATCGAGTAACCGAGCTGCTGTCCAATGGACTCGGGTCCCCCGTGTAAGGGATGCCCCACCTGCCTCAGTCCCGTCATGGCGAGGCCGGGAGCCAGTCTGAGGCACCCCCACGGGGATCTTCCCCGGAGATGTGGAGGTCGGGGCAGCTGTCAATCCCCTCAGCACATCATCCAACTCTGCCTTCCTCGGCGCACCTCTTCGGTGCTGGGATGCAGTCCTCCACCGGGCCCTGACCGCAGGCTCCTGTGCGGTTGTCTAAGACGTCGCCACACGCCTTTCCCATGCCTGTATTACATCCATCCGTCACCATTTGGTGACTCTCTACCCTAGTGACCAGCTTAGGTTTCAAGGTGACTATTTCACATCAAATGCCCCCGTCCCCGCCTCCCGGAATCGGCACGCTTTGCCAGCGTACTCGCCTTTGCCACTGCCCAGGACGGCCTGGGTACACGCCCGTTAACATCCCCCTAAGGATGAGAATATTCCCAAATGGCTTCGAGCGGGAATGTTAATGTTCTGATTGGGTGCATCTTCACCAGACACCACTGCGCCTACGTCGGACTCAGCCAGGCGGCCGTCAGCAGTGGGCCGGTACCGGTCAAGGGTCGCTCCTCGAACTATGGGTGGGATCGCTTCACCCGCCCAGCACTGTCCTGACTCAATTCTTTCACTCTTTCTTCTACTTTGTTCAAAAGACTGTCAACTTTGTTGCCTTCCGCATTGCTGTCGGAACTCTGAAGGTCCATGTGGGTAAATTCTCAACGTGGCAAAGCTGCTGATTTTGTGTATGGAGGTCGCTGAATAGCGTGGTCCCGTGAGGCGCACACCAGCTCGGCTGTCCCCTGCCCCTGGACCATGGGCTGGAGGCCGTTTAGAATGGTCTCATTGTCAGCACTGTGCCCTGCTGCCGCCACAGGGCGGCGAGGCCCTGGGCCATGCCTGGGGGAGGAGGGGCAGGAAGGGTAAGTACAGCTAGTCTGGTGGCCAGGATTGCAGGAGCCTCCCTAGGAGATGACACGGGAGCTGATACCCGAGTGAGGAGATAGAGCCACTTCGGGGACCTGGGGAAAGAACATCCCATGGTGCACAGTAGGTGCAAAGGCCCTGGGGCTAGAGGAGGCTCAGTGTGCTTCAGGAGCAGAAGGCTGGTGTGGCCAGGACCGTGGCAAGCACGGGCCAGCCTGGTGGGAGATGGTGGTAAGGTCACAGAAGCCGGGTCAGGGAGGGTCTAATGAGCAGGTCAGGAAGTGGGCTTTATCCACTGGAGGGGACAGCGCGGGAGGGGTTCAGCCAGAGCATGCCACAGAGGGAGGACTGTGAGTGGAGTGGATCCGGGAAGCCCGGCGCAGTAGCTGGTAGACCTTACGATGACTACTGTCCCTTCCCTGGGGGGCCAGGGGAACCCAGATCCCTCACACAGTCCACCAGGATTGCACCCGGGGACCCCCACACACCACTGAGCCCGCCGATCTGTTCCCGTTATCCTGACACTCCAAACAGCGACTCACGGAATCGGACGGTCAATGGCGGGTGCACTGGGTGAAGATGGTGCAGACTGCACGTGACAATCAACTCCCAGGGAGCGTAGCTTTTGAGCACAGGGGATGCCAGGAGGCAGCTGCTTCATGTAAGGTGTGAACCGATGTTTGCCCGAGCTTTTGCTCCCAGGGTGGGGGAAACAGGTACACGCAGCTCAGTTGCTAAAAATAGGGGGATCCTCAGTCTGTTTTCGTGTGACGGGTCCTGAAGTATTGCCCCCGCCGTTCGCACCCCCACCTTGGGCTGAGGGTCGGAGCAGACTCGCAGAGACCTGGCCGGAGGGGAGCTGCGCCGGGAAAGGACTGTGGCCCCGGGGTGGATGCACACCCGGGGTCTCTGGTGTCCAGATCCGGGCTTGGTTCTGGCTCTGGCTCCCCCGTGCGAGCTCGTGCTGGGACGCCGGGTCCAAGTGGCTGCTTCTGCCCCTCGGAGACAGGCAGTCCCGCCCACAGCGAGAGCTGTTGGGAGGCTGGAGGTAGGCACCCTCTGGGCTGGGACCTGCATTTGAGCGGAGCCCTTCAATCCAGCTCCCCTCGGGTGGGTTTCCGTGTGGCCAGGGGCCCTCTGAGCCTGCCCTTGACCAAAGGCCAGAACCGAGCCAGACTGCCAGCAGAACCCACAACGGGCCCATTTCACAGATGGGCGCATCAGCCCGGGAGGTGGAGTTATAGGAAGCCCCGCGGAGTCTGGCCCTTCAGGGGAGAAGGCCACCTTCCCTGTGCCTTCTGCCAGCCAGCACCCTCCATGCCACCTGTCTGCTTGGGCATCCCTTTCATTGCCAGCTGCTCCATTCATTCATTCATTCATTCACTCACTCATGAATGTTTAGCAACTGCTCTTGGTCCATTTCACAGCTAGGTTCGAGTCCTCAAGTGCACGCCTGAGGCCAGAGAGTGGCCAGAGTTGGCAAGCCTGGGGGTCAGAGAGGGCTTTGCCCCTTAGCTGTCCGAGTCCAGCAGGCTGGGCAGGAGCCCCTCTCGCTGAGAGAATAGCTTTGAGTGGCTGGGGTGGGCCAGTCTCTGTCCCCAGGCAGAGTGGTAGGTGGTAGCCTTCCACCTCCTTCCCCTCTTCCT